GTTACTTTAAGTTTTTCACTAACTACATATGTTGCAATGATCAATAAATTGAACTTGACTCAATTTAATTGATTCAAGAAATTAGTCATAAGTATCCTCATAAATGGCTCAAAATATGCACCTCTTATTTGATCTCATTCTGAATGTTCACATACACTCGATAATCATTTTTTATTAAAAAAGCTCACTGGTTTGCTTTGTTTTCATGCCTGATAACACTTTGATACTTTTTCATGAATAGGCAGAGAAGGATTCAAGATTAACAGTTGAACTCTTAAAACATGCTGGATTGACTCTGAAAATGCTAAAATTGGCATCATTGGAGGAGCAATCTAATTATGTTTCTACATGGTCTAAAATTGTGTCAGCTTGTGCTCAAGAGCTGAAACATGGCACCTTGATTTGGAATCAGGCATTACAAAAGGATGTACACAGTCAAATATTATCTAAAAACCAAGGTACCAGATAGCATATTTATGCATGACAATGATGGTAGTAATAGCTATTCTGCTTGTCTCTTAGATATGTAACTTGTCAAATATTTTGTTCTCAATTATTTTATTCTATGCAGGGAAGAAGTATCTTCTTGCCCTCGGGGAAATTTACAGGGTTCTTCAAATTCTGGGGAGTTCAGCCAGACTTTACAAGCCATGGGTATTGTTAAGTTCTACTGATCCCACAATTATGTTGGCTCTTCTAGATGAATGTTCGGTTCTATGGTCAAGTTCAGGACTTGAAGAAGCTCTCCAGAGTATATCTGATCTGTCTTTGTCCGAGTATGATGGAACTGTCAATGCTTTGCTGGAATCCATCAAGCATGTTGGTGATCTTGATGCACTTGCACTTTATAATCATGCTTTCTCTGGACAGGAACCTACCTGTCAACTATCTGGCTTAACCGTGGGAACAGTACCAGGTATGCAGATATTGATCATGCATTGAATTTGGAGTATGATGGGCCCTTCATATAAACCCTTTAATCAAGTGCCTAATGGCATTGAACCTGAGATGACATATGGCAAATTCACGTAGTTATCCTTAGAGTTCTTTTCATTTGGATATCCTCCATGAATTTGAACGTAGGACACTAGACCTTTCCAATTTTTCTAGAAAAAATTTATTACTTTCCTAAATCCTTTGTGGTTTTAACTTTAAAGGAAGTTGAAGTTGGAGGAGATAGCAAGATGCTAATAACATAACCAGGGACATGGACGCAGATTTTTAAAGATTAAGTAGGAGTTGATTTCTTGTAAAATCTTGTGATTTACCAGTTAACGTTTGGGCCTAATCTGGCGAGAAAAAGGTAGATGTATGATATAATTAACCTTCAACGTACTAAAAGCCTGGCGGGCTAGCTATAGGCTGTTTGAGCATGTGTTATTCATTCAGAATAAGCGCCCTCTGTGATTTTCATAATAGCTTTTTTTGAGTTTCCTCTCCATCTTTTACTGTGGGTTCCTGCCTAATCTTCTCAGTTCTTCAATAATTTTGCTGGACAGGCATGAAAATGGTGGTTTGGAATGGGAAACACTACTTCTTGACACTTGCCAACCTGTGGGCAAACCTTGTGAGTCCTGATCCTCCAACTTTACAACACATTCATGTTCATTGATGGAATGCAAGAGAAAGTTGGAGGATGTACTTTTGAGGCTCTTTAGTTGAGACGATATTTCTTTCGGAAACGAGGTTCAATTTCGGATCACTAGCCACTGTTGCCCTACCCTGCACTGGGACTGCCACCATTTGGAAGCTTCCACGATCGGGATATATCCATGTCACCGGAACTGCCACCATTTGGAAGCTTTCATGATCGGAATATGTCCATGTCGTGATCACACTCCGGCTACCTGGTTCAACGGTCAGAGTTCTAAAATTCAAGATTTTCTATACGTTATTGCCATTATTGCTCCGCATTCTTTTCGTGAAAGCTGTAGCATATTTAGTTGAATGTAGAGGTGTTGTGTATTCTTTGTATTGATTTAGCTGTGAAATCAGTGAATAAAAATAAGAAGCAAATATATATATATATATATATAGTGACAAATACAAATAGGGTTGTAAAGCAAAGACAGGAGATAGTTGTTGGTTTCTCTTGTTTCTCTTCCTATGTATTTCAGAACAAACTGGATTGATGGATTTTTCTCTCACCCCTCTTGCAGGGCAAATACTTACATAGCCTTCATATTTTGAAATTGAATTTCTGGTTAGTTGTAAACTTAAATAAAATTACATGCAAAGCACAAATAGGAAGAGCTTGTAATTAAGCGGTAGCCGATTCTGATTTGACACCAGTTTTTTCACCAAATCAGAAGTCACCGAGACAATAAAGCTTTTAGCTTTTCCTTTCCTTCTTGGATCTTCGGCTTTAAATTTTAACATGTTAAAATTATTAATATTTGTAGATTTAACTCATAATTAAGTTAATTTTAATTAATTATATTTTTAACTATTAAATAATCACAAAAATATTAATTAAATTGAACATAAATATTTATCTAAATTTTTTAATCAATTAATTAATTTTTAAATAGATAAATTATAGTAAATAATAATAATAATAATCACATATTCTTATAAATTAAACTCAATATTAATCATCTTTTTATATAATAAATAAAATTATTATAGACGAAATTCAATATTTATTAACTTATAAAATAATAGATAATTTAACTAATAAATTTATAAAAAATAAAAAATAAATTCTTCATATTTCTATTTTAGCTTCTTCTTTTCTTCTCAATTTATGAATATTTTGTGCAATCAATTTAAAAAGCTTTTTCAATGTAAGTATATATATATATATATATATATATATATATAATCACTAAAAAATGTATACAAAGTACACCTTTTTTTTTTTTTTACAAATAAATGGTTAATATGTATATATATATATAGATAGACATAACTATATATTATTGTAACGTGTGTGTGTGTGTGTGTGTGATGTCTATATATATATATATATAGTTTCAAAATTATTTTAAAATAATTTATAAATATTGTGTTAAGAAAACAAAACTAAAAACTTTTTTAATTAATTTTTATTGAAAATGGGCCATTAATAATTTACTTCTCTCACGCGTACGAGATAACCACAATAATTTGAAAAAACCCATTTGGAAAAGCACAATTTCATC